AAAATAGTTTTAATTTCAGACAAATTATGTACATATTTGCATATATTTTGGTGATCATAATTTACAACTTGTACTTCTCTTTCAATAGTACAAATATCGTGATATTTTTTTACATCAACTCACCAATGTTTAGTAAAAACAGAGCTTTCTTTCCTCATCTTCAACATGCCATCAAGTTTTATTTCTGAGTTTATCTTTTTCGTCACTTTTAGTACAGTTTGATTAAATTTTAGTCCATTTTGATCCAARCGTCCCGAAACACCATTCCCGTTATGTCCAACGCCTTTACGTTCAATAATTGTTTTCAATTTCTTAGAATTTTCAGCAAAATCCGAAACCTCAATCTTAGGCAGAAATTTRGCCTTCATTCCATTTTGCCTTAAACTTTTGAAATTTGATTTTTTTTTATCAAGACSATTTTTTTCTTTTTCTTTCCTATCCTTCTTGGCCAAACTTTGATCATTACTTGTTTCAGGCATAAAAAACGTTGTCCCTTTATAATACGTATCCGCCTTTGGATGCGTTCGTTTGTTCTTTGAAATTGTCCCCAGAAGTGAAGAATTTTCTGCACCAAGTAAAGAAGGAAAGCAGCTTTTCCTTAAGTCAATTCGTTTGTTCAACCTTGTGACAAGGTGCTCGTTATCTGGTTCACAACTCATGGAACTAGGCGTTTCCATTTTCTTGATATTTTGTTYGATGATTTTTTTGGTTGTTCGTTTGCTTTGCTCGGTGATGGCCATTAAGAATGCCTTGCGATGTTGATTTTCTAGATGTTCTAATCTACTGAAGTAATCTGGTATTTCTGGTTTGGTCCATGATGCATGAAATTTTAAGAAAAAGTGAAAAATCATTAACGTTATCTCCAAAGATTAACAAAAACGAAGAGTTGGTAAAAACTACTCTGGCAGAAAAATCTTGATAAAGATAGGAAAAAGATTAAATGTGTACGAACTAGAATCATGACAGAATGTCATTAACAGAAGTCAAAAGAAAACACTAGAATAAAACRAATGCATGCCATAGTACAATTAAACACACAACGGCGCAAACGAAAACAAAGACAAAGACAACAAATCTTATTAAGGCAAAAGCAACATTAACAACAATTCAGAAAACTAAAGTAATGATAAACTATAAGTTAAACAAACAAGCAATAATTTGATAAACATATGTCTTTTTGCAGATTTTTCCACCATTCCGACTCTGTGATTCAGTATATTTGATACTTTTACAATTCTCATCTATTAGAAGTTTRATGTCTTCAGTAAAATTGCACCCATACCTTTGGGGAGAACGTTGATTCGRGAACTCCTTTTTATCTTTCTTACGTCGATCATATTCTTGTCCTGGAATAGGCAAAAGTCGAGGGAAACTCTTTTGTGTATTTTCGGCAAAAGTGTTCCTCCTTTTCTGCAATTCGTTGGTGACTCTTCTCTCCTCGCGTTGTATTATRGAAAGATCTACTTCTAGGCTTTTCAATAAACCAGTGTTCATATGATGTGCGTGTTTTAGTCCATGCTTATTGCAGATTTTAATCTTACTTTTCTTGGGTAAGTTTCTGATCCTGGTCAACTCCTGATTCAATCTTTCGTTTATTCTCTTCCTCGCAGAATCATAGTCCACATCCATCTTTTCGCTGTTGTTTTAAATTCGATTAACCTTGAACATATTTCAAATTGATGATTTTTTGGGATGGATAAAATCTGTCTCGTCGAGGGACGAATAACGATCGCTGCTGCAACTCTTCTGTGAGTTACTAAGATATTGGAAGACTTGTTGGACCACTGACAAGAACTGAGTCACGAGTTCATTAGAATTCTTTCCATGTCTGTCTTGAATACTATGTCAACAAATGTCGTGATAAACGTTACACATGTTAAATGTTCAAAACATCTGTGGACTCAAAAATTTGAACACAGCAAAGTATTGTAAGATATTTACTTAGTTCAACCTATTCGCCCAGTATAACATCTTTGATTTCAGCACTAGAAACGTTCCATTAAAAACAATCATTGCAAGAGTTAATCATTCAAGTTTTTAGGCAATAAAAGGCTTTTGGTCTTGGTATTCCAGTGGTGATGCTACTTTCACGTCGTGTCCTGTATTCAAACACTTTGTAACCTTCTTCTGTCCCTTGTACGCTTAGTTTCAAGTCCCTCATCAGACGATGTTAATGATCTTTCCAATTAATGGCAAAGCAGGTGTTTGCGATCCTTGCCAGTGTTAATGCCTCACTCACTCATGCACAAAGGATGAACTAATGAACTAAATCGATGGCTCAACACGAAGTTGACCCGGTTTAGTTGTTCTGTACCGAAAACTAAACTTCATACGTACATGAAAATTGATACCAGGGATTTGATCTTATGATATAGTCTCTGGCAGAGACCCAGTTTCATGAGATGTGTGCAACACTCTAGACTATTGTTCTTTACGACGTCTAAATAAACAAACATGGCAGTGTAAACCTTTATGAATTTTATTTCTTTGGTTCTTAATCTCATCTTTTTTGTTAACTTTACTTAATAGTACTCTACCGTCCCAAGAGAAAACACCTTAATGGGTTTAAAATAATCAATTTGTTTAATGTCTGGAGAAGGATTAGTTTAGAATAAAAACGTCACTGTTAAGTGAATATTTTGCTGAAAGTATTGATAACAACTCAATATTCTTATTTGTTCACATTGTCAAAATTTTTATGATCATGTCAAGGATATGAGTTCTGTCGATTCAAGTTCCAGGTTTTCCTCTACTTCAGTTTTTCATCATCATCCTGCAATCATTGTCACGTAGGTCGTGTTTTGCCTTGCCATGCCTTTTTGCAAAGTTCATCAGTCATTATCATTTTTACCTTTGTCATCGTCATCATCATCAGTCTTTTTCTCTTCCTCCTCCTCTTTCTTTCTTTTTTCTTTCTTCTTCCAATTTTCTTCCAATTTTGTGATTTTTTCCCTTTACAAATGTTTTCTCCCTGGCTTTCTTCATTATCTTCTATCCCCATTTCCTCTTTTTTTCTTTCCCTCTTCCTGCTTTCTCAGTTTCGTACTCGGCTTTTAACAAAGTTATTGAAACTACGGTTTGCATTCTTCCGAAATATTTCTCTCGCTCTTCTCTTCCTCGTTCAATGCTTCTGCTCTCTTCTTCTTCTACTTGTACTTGTACTTCTGCTTTTTCAGTCTTTTATTTCCTTCACTTTCTAAGACTATTTAGCTTCTCTAACATAACCACTTCATACACTAAAACTACCAAAGATATAATGCCCCATTCTTGACCCTTTTTGCCATTTACTGTAGCTCTCAAGAGACAAGATCACCTTTTCATATGCAAATTTCCCCTCCCTATCTTACTGGCCCAAGAACTGATGTACTGCATGAATCGTTTCGTAATGAGTCAGTGTTTACTTAGTGTTTAATGTTTTTCTCGATTTATGTTTGAAGCACGGCAAATGGTAAGGAATTCCTGATGTCACTGTATTGAAGGTTGTTCATTTTTGAAAGTGTATACCGACTTTGGCTTACTTCACTGAGGGTACAAAGAGTTTGAATATAAAAAGAGCTATTGGAAAACCTTTCTGGGGTAAAAGATTACGAACACGCATGCAATAGTAAAACCGATGTGAACAGAGCTTTTCAGTCTTTTCAACTGATCGTCTGATGTTGGGCAATATTGGTCTGCTGAGAGGTCCGGCCGAGCACGTATGATAAGTAACGTATATCACAAGGAAAGACGGTGTAAATAGATCGAGAACTGAAAGTGATAGATACCAAGTTTAACATCAAGAAACAAAGGCTGACTAGTATACTTCTGTTGGATGAGAAGTCATTTCAACAGCTGAGTGTAAATCTAGATATAAAGACATTCTTGATAGGATTCCAACAAAAGGACTGGTTGGTATGGTACGAATTTGGTGAGCATATTTTGGCCACTTTTTACAGCAAACTTCTCGGCGGATACAGAAAACTGACTAGAAACGAGTTAGAAAACGTATCCGCTTTCATTTCAGGTGTTGGAATTTTTATATCCTTCCTTTTAAAAAAAATCATTTGAGACAACAGTATTACCCATGACGCAAACGTTGCTCATTAATTGAAATATATATAACTCTTTGAATAATATTTAAAAAAACCATATTTGGTAAAAGCATCTTCAATTGCAAGGTTCGGTCAAGCATTTTCCATCATGAATGCGCATCCCTCTCGACAGCCTTTGATTCGAATCAGCAAAACAGGCGAGATGAGGCTGAGAAATAAAATAGGAGATGCCATATTAAAGGATAATGCTCATGAAGAAAGGGCACTTGATTCGCAACTCGTTTTCATCAAGAAACACCAAACAAGACAAGATAAATACCTGACTTATAGACAGATAGATTTTGCCTGTAAGCAAGTTGCAGCATCGGAGGAAAGACCAAAGACTATTTCTACAGATTTGGCGCGAAATTATAGTGTTCTGCCTCAGATTCAATCTATGAATTTGAAAAATAGTTTTAGTAGAGAAAGACCTTGTACAATGACCACAAAGAGGAGTAATTTAGACTTGGAAAGGAGTCAAAATTCTGGTGATTTCAAACCACAACGAACAGGGAAAGAATCTTGGGAAAAGGCAATGGCGTTGATAAGACTTTCTTTACAAAACAGACGCACTCACGATGCTCCCCGTCAACAAAATCCAACATTTTTTACACAACAAATGCAATTGGAAAAACGAAAGGAAGGAAAAGGCAAAAAGGTGAAGGAAAAAATGGATGGTACGAGCAAGACGTTGCCACCGTTGCCTCAATCACGTGATGGTTAGCGCAGTCGTCATCGTAGAGGAAGGCTGTTGTCAAGGAAACCATCTTTCCCTGAAATGATCAAATTGTCTCGAGAAAAATCCATGTCGGGACTACATGACCCGAGGTTTTTGGAACTCGAATCATGTCTTGGAGGAGGAAGAAAAAAAATTATTAGAAAGGGAACTTCAAGTGATGATAACCCCCGCAAACTTAAAACTAATAATTTTAGACAACGTAATGTGACTACTTTTTATTAATTAGACATATTTGCTTTATTTGACTTCCAGAATGGAGAAAACACCAGAAAAACATAAATGATAGAAACATATAAGTGTCATTGTTTATACCATGTGTCAAATAAATTCTCTTTATTGCTTACTATCAATCACGTGACTTTTTTGGAGTTGACTGGGGGGCAAACAAGCGGTTGACTGAGGGGCAACTAGCGGATGTTGAGTCAAAACACGTCAAAATAAGTCCTCAAACTATTGTATTTGACTATTGCTACGACATGAAACCAGAAAACAAGAGAACRAAACGACCTCCAAGATTCTACAGGATTCTACTAACCATTAAAAATGCGGCTGTTAGCGGAAGTGACGTCTATTGATAGCAACCTATTCCCTCTGGTCGTTGCGGGCCACATGACAGTTATATGATCATATGTCATTTTTTCAAAAATTCACAACAGTAAGACTGAATGTAAATGAGGATCATCAAGGTCACGTGGCCACCTTATCTCAAAAGTTTAAGTTATGGTTTCTGTGGTGTCATGTTATAAGGAAATGTATAGGGATTCTTCGCTGGTGGGGGAAAAATCCTTAAGACGGGCTAAATTCAAAAAATAACCACACAGAGCGAAAGAAGTGCTATTCCTCAATGATCAAGTAAAATTTCGAGGCTTCATTTCGCGTTTCAATGATTATTGAAATGTTTGAATAATCCCCATACATTTCCTTATAACATGACACCCCAGGAACCAAGCTTGGGCTATGAGGCGGAAAGTACCTGTGGCTATGTGCCCAAGGTCTGAGCGAAAAAAAGACCGGCAAAAATAAGAAAGATACAAATGATGTAGTCATAATTGGTGCGATGAAAATGGTGGTTTCGGGGGTAGAATATTTACATATTGATCTCGGTTTACAGTATCATAAAGGATATTCGCAGATTGTAATAGGGGTAAAATTCAACATTTCCGATTTTGAGTTCAAGTTTGCATTCCACTTTCATCTTTTTGTTCGACATTCAAATTAATGTATTCCGTGTCCAATTAGTCTCCCCCACAGCCGCTTTCAGTGTCGTCACGCAACGCTTTCTCAACTACTCAGGGGAGAAAGCGTTGCGTGACGACACTGAAAGCGGCTGTGGGGGAGACTATTGTCCAATGTTTTCAAATGTAAAGTGTGACTCCAATCACATTAGGTGTACCAATAAATCTTGTACAGTCTTAAACTCAACTATTTATTCACTCAAGGGTTTATCCTGTTACAGCAGTAGAAGTAATCTTTTAGTTGTAGACGAAATAGTAGTCGGTTTTCTGAATAAATTAAATACAAATTATTACACATTGCGCAAAGTAAACAAAAAAAAAAGAAAGGACGAAAGAAATTACAAATTAAACCTACCAGACTGTACGAATCCATCCGTATGGATATAAAGAAATACTGATAATAAACAACAATATTGAGTCCTGCAAACTCGACTCGCACGAGTTCAAATATTCACTTATACTAAACCCGAACGTGATGTCACGTGACCTTTATATCACGTGCACCGGATCCGGATATGACTCGGTAGCCACATAAAGTTGATGTTATTGCATTTTACATTGAACTTGAAGTATTCGCTATCCATGTTCTTGTATTTGCATTGACTAGTTCTSTTTTTGATCTTCGTGCGTGTATTTTGAACTAGCCACATATTATTCGATATCCGTACCAACTCCGTCAAAATTCGACTTCACAATTTCAATATGCAAGTTTTCATTTTCAAGTACATAATCGTATTATATTTGACCTAGTGTTGGGGGAACTCCCCGAATCTATAATGATAACCACTGCACGAGCCAGCCAATCACAATCTGCATTTAATATTATTGTATCATGATCACACCACACCCTTATTTCTCGGAAATGGATCCGGACGGACGGACGGATGGATGGATGGATGGATGGATGGATGGATGGATGGATGGATGGATGGATGGATGGATGAGATGGGATGAGACGGGATGGATGGACGGACGGACGGACGGACGGACGGACGGACGGACGGACGGATAGACGGATGGATGGATGGACGGACAGACGGATGGATGGATGGATGAATGGATGGATCATTGAAATGCACGCGAAAAGGGTAAGGTAATTCGCGCTGTATAGATCAAGCCAATGAAATCGTGTCCTTACACGGCAAAATTGACCTTAGACATAGCTGTCGTCCAAAACAACGAATTGGACCAGAAGGGGTATAATCCCATTTCCCAGCCCAAAAAATTCGCAAAATCCCAGTCCGCATGCTGTTACATCAAGACTGCGCATGCCCGGAGGCGAATAGGTCCGCTGTGAAACTGATCTGGTGAATCGGAGTAATTGAATCTCTTTCACATTTTCGTGATTTTGTTTCCCATCTGTTATGGCTAAATCCCAGTCCCGGTGCTTGAAATCCAATATTGTCAGTCCTAAAACTAGACAAATTTCGTTTCATATATCCCTAATAGGCCGACACTCGACTCCTTGGTAATAATAATAATAATAATAATAATAATAATAATAATAATAATAATAATGATGATGATGATGATGATGATAANGATGATGATGATGATGATGATAATAATAAACATTATTTACACACGGAATCATATCATCTATCTAATAAATGCTCTTCCTGAGAGCCGTGTCATACAAAACTGAAAGATAAATAGAGAAGATAAGAAATGTATACAAACAAATACTGAATTAAGAATTGAGTAAAACATTTATGTAAACATTTGTTTGGGCTCCCTGTGTTTTTCTTTGTGAAACGGATAAAATAAAATAAACTTTAAAAWATATGTATATGTACATATAATTAGGTATTATTTTTGATAAGCCATACATATTATTTTTAATAGATAGATCTTAGAGGTCAAAATGATTATTTCCATTCATTAATTGTCTGTTATCTTAAAAAGAATATCCTCAAAAAATTATTAATGGCACTCCAAGGCTAATTTTTTCAACACGTGGCTCAAATATGAAAATGGCATTCTCATGAAAGAACCGAAGAATAAGGAACGCCTGATCTTTTGTATTGGCTTGAGATAATCGTAATGATCTCTGGATGACAGCTGTTAATAATCATTTTCAATCGTCATTGGTCAATTGTGGTCTAACTCGATTATCCATTGGTGGATCAAAATAATCTCTAATCACATGCTCATAACATAGAATGGTCGCCATATTTGACGCTAACAAAAGTGGTATTAGAGACTGTGTTGGGCGCTATCGGAGTTCTGTTTAGAAAAGTCTGAAAATGGAAGAAAACTTTGATAGTACGGTGCGATTTAAGTGTTATGTCCACTATCCCGTCATCAACGAAGATGGCACTGAAAATCAGAATATTATCCGCGGGAGCGGAATCGATCTTCTCCCAAATATCCCTTTGTCTTCCATCGCGGCAGATGTATTGAGCGACATGTTCCAGAAAGGAGAAATCGAGGGGAAAATCATCCTAAAAGCTGACAATGCTAAAGGTATAAAAGATAGTATCAATTCACGGAGGTTTTGGAGGAAATTTTAGATGTCTTTTTATTGATAATGCGATGGTTAGGTTGTGAGAATCTATAGAAGATCTTTATTCGATAGTATTAGAATCGCTGCGCGTGATTATTGATATCAAAAATTCTTACTCGATCTGTTCGCTGTCGAAAGACTGTGCAACGCAAATCACGCTTTGCTCACTTTTATTTAGTTCTTAATGAAATAATGTGTCTTTATCTTTTAAAAAAGTCATTTTTTCGGACGTCTAAAAGTTAAGAAAATCGCGAGAATCGCAAGTTTGATAATTACAACAAAGAACCATTCAACATGGCCGTCCAATGAATCCTTTTTGACGTTTGAAAATTTAAAATCTACATGTGCTCATAATGGAGCAAAATACCTCTTTATTTAGTCTTTCTTTCTTTTTGCATGGCTGTGATTTGATTTGAAAATAAAACCTGGCTAAAAAACTTTGGGTGACATCAAATATAAACTTGCTATTTTATAAGCTTAGTTTTTTAGTTTAAGGTTATTATGTTTAGTGACTTTTTCGTAAATAAAAAAATGGTGGTTTTTAAAATACAATTAAAGTATACAACATGGATTTTATTTCACGTTTTCCCTGTGAAATATAAAGAACCAAACTTGATTTTATAATTAGAATTTTTGGCAAGGAATAGGGGCTATAAGAGGGGAAGTGGTATGTAAAATTAAGAAGGGGTATCTGCAACAAATGTTTTCCGACGAGATTTCTATTTCCAAAAATTTCATATCTTCGTAAGTTTTGAACTGATTTCCTTCAATCTTCATAATTTTACTAATTTTAAAATGCTCTTTCCAAAATTGTAAATATTCTTCTGTCCTGTGAGATTTTAGCCTCCTTTGCATTCTTTGTGGAGAAGAAACATCTGCTATTTCATGCATCTAGCTATGACAGCATAAGAAAAGGAAGACTTTTAGAACTGATAGGTATAACGGATGTTTTGAAAGTTTTTTTCAAATTTAGACGAGCCTTTATAGGAGTCCAATTTGAGAACTTTCAAAACGTCATGAGTATCTACCAATTCATCCATGGAAGCCTACTTAGTTGTCATGATGATGATTGTTTGCATGCTATTAAGGGGTACAAAACTCCTGAATTCCTCTTAAGATACAAGGAGAAAAGAGATACTTAAATATTTTGGTAATGGGGGGAAGGGGAGGGGGAGGGGTTCGAGGGCTTGGTTGAAGATGGGACAGGGGACAGGGGTGTGGCTGTACTAAAAGCTAACTTATAATGATGGCCTTACTGCTGGAATATACCCCTAAAACTCATAATTGACTTTTCTTCTAGTATTTATTCAAATCCGAGATAACTGGAAACCCCATTCCTTATTGGATTTTACAACTGATGGCGATCTTGACATCAGTTTGTTGGATGCATTTGGTGAAATGCTGCAACTTCCACATTCCCAGATGAGTATCCACGTCCACCTTTGCCATGAGTAAGTATATATATTGATTATATACATGTCTAACATATAGTATATTGTTACCTGATAGTCAAGGCTGCTAAATAGTCTGGTTTTGCCCAGCAGCACTTTTAGGAAGGATTCGAAAATTAGAGGGAAAGGGAATGGAATTTGGGATGGAAGGTTAAGTGTATGTGACCATGGGTTGGTTAGTTTATTATGTATATTTTTTGACATTAATTGAAAATTTGGGGGTGGAGGGGGGGGAGTGCAACCTCCCTATCCTATAATGTAGGCTTTACTGAAAGCCTTTCGCCACCTTGTTATTCATGCATAGGTTTGAAATTTTGCAGACTCAATATCATGTGAGTGGAGTTAGAGCTTCAAAGTCTGAATAGAATTTTTCTCCAGGTTCTACAGTTTTTCTTACTTAAAATGCACAATTGTAAACTTTATTTTACTCATGTGTTTTGTAAATTTGTATTTTTTTAACAGGAGAGACTGGAGTGACGACAAAGTTCGAAACACTATTAAGAAATTATTGGAACATTACAGCCAAACCCATTTAGAAAGAATGCAGTGTCCTTTTTCACAGGTATTATATATATTTATTAATGTCTAATTATAGAAAATATAGTATCTATCTGTTATATATGAAATTTTTAAAAACACCGTCTTCGTTTTTAGAGGGTAGCACTTGTGGCTCTTGTTTCATAATGAAATTGGAATTTAGAAATTGATTTTTTTGAAGGGAGGGAATCAGAGAACCCGGAGAAAAACCCTTGAAGCACAAGAGATATCCAACAAACAACTCTACTCACATATGACATCAAGCACAGCAGGAGTGCTCTCACCACTACGTCACCTGTTCTACCCAAAAAGCATGCATAGTTCACAGAGCATGGTTTGAAATCCTAATGTGTTGCCTATTACATACTTCTGTTGTCATAGGTTTGAACCTCAGACTTGTGAGTAGAATTTTATAGAATAATGGGAGAGTTGTTTGTTGGTTATCTTCAGTGCTTCAAAGATTTTTTCTAAGTTTTGTAGTTTTCCTTCTGCCATAAGTAGAAACCTTACACATCGACAAACATTGAGGATGGGACACCCAAATTATTAACATGCATTTTCAAAATGGGTTTTTTTGCATGCACAATCATCTTGGACATTGCTGTCCTTGTTACACAAGGATTATGCTGCACTCATGAAAAGACATTTTCAAAACATGCCTGCCTTGTCATCCTAGCCATGCCGCACTGATCTTGCCATATATCCTTATGCATAAGGTCTTTAGTGTTAAACCACTTCATACTGAGTCTCAGCTATGCTCTACGTAACATAAGTAAATTTTGCATCAAATATTGTACCCTTCCAGAGTGACCTAGAGTATAATCATATGTAATGATTATTTTTGTAGGGTATGCTTTCACAGATTTCTCGTGATCAGTACCCATGTCGTCTCTCTAACGATAAAATAAAACACTTTGGTGCATGGTACGAGCGCTCTAATCTTGCAGATGAGGATGATCCAGACTCATTAACACCTAAAAAACCAGAGATATCGACGCAAAGGGGTAAAAAAATTGTCTTCAACCCATCACATGAAATTCCGATGCTTCGATCCTGGTACGAAAACGATCCTAAACCAAACATGAGTGACCTTGAAAGATTCACAGAAATTCTAAACAACTCAGAGTTTCGAAAAACACGCGAAGCAGTCAGTCTGAGACATGTAAATACTTGGTTTAAAAATGAACGAGCTCGCTGGAGAAGGGAAAGCTTGATGGAGGATTTAGCTAGACCATCTATGGCTGTAGCCACAGTAACCACGAGCTAAAATCACAAGACCCCGTAGATTTAGTTGTATTTAATATAAAAGATATCAGAGATGAACACATGTATATGTTTTGGAAATGCAAATATTTTTATTTTAATTAATTATTTACTATTAGGGAATAGATTTTTTAGAGCTGGGAACTGAAATATATATATCTATAATCTAAACAAGGATATTATGTAGGGATAGTTATATAGGTGTATTTGTTCATATTTGTCAGTTGGGCATCACTCTCCCTCTCCCCTGCTCTGGTCCTGAGTAATCCAGTACCGCTCGAAAGCTGGATTTTCATTGCTCCCTAAGTACAGTACCGCTTTTGTAAGGTTAGGTTTAGCGCTATTGTTTGGATGACCAATCTATTGTTTCTTAATCCAATCATGTAACTCGTTCCGAGCGGTACAGGCTGGTTCCTGGTCCCACCCTCCCCATAACAAAAACAAGACAGCAGTTTATTGAGAGGTATAGCTTTTTTATAATTTTACTTTATCGATAGATACTTTGCCAGAAAAAAACTATTTTTCTTCCTAAGATACTTTCCTTCACTTCACGTAGTTGTGGATTCATGGGTTGGTCACAGGCTTCCTGTGAGCCCCCTTCTAGCTCCGAATTAGTTGGTGTAGTATAATTATATATATATGCTCTGTGTCCCATGTGAACAAGAAAAAAAGTTTTGATTGTAACTTCTTATATTTTAACCTGCATGGCCAGCCYGAGCCTCCTATGCAACCGTTCTTAGTGTCTGTCATGCAACAGACACTAAGAATGTCTGCGTAGAAGGCTAGGCCAGCCTCAGCCTTACATGGACTGGCTACACAGGCTTTGAAATGTTAAGTCCAGAATAAACTGTGGGACTGTTACCTAGAAGGGCATCACATAGCTTCCTTATTAGGTCTTACCTTATCCTTTATTTATATCATTTTTTAACTTCAAAGGAGTTGACTGGCCACCAAATTGCCCCCCTGGATTTGGTTTTGAAGTCATTACCCCTTATAGAATAGATGAACCAGATACACAGACAGACAAACTAATATATATGTTTTTGTGTCATGATTATCAAAGATTAAAGTGCCTATCACCAATCTGACAATATTCTCAGTATTGATTCTACATGAGGTAAGATGTTGAATAACCTGGGGAAAAAAAGTTTGAATATGGCTTCTTGAAGTTATAAAGGTTTTTCCATGTCAGATGCTGATGCTGTGACGTATGAGGAGGCATTTATAGTTATTTGTTGTTCCTTGTAATTCGAAACACCGGCTTCTATGGGAAAACTAAGTTGCAATAATTTCTATAAGAGCAATGGGGAAAA